CAACAACTGGCGAATACCATTAGCATCGTTGAGTTGGTCGAGGATGCTGAAGAGGATGAGAATGGGGGTGTTGATGGGAATGGGAATGGAAATGAGGATGAGGATGGCGTGGCCCTGGCACAAAGCATCTGGGGAGTGTGCGAAGGTGCACTTCAGGACGTTGTCAACGAGGCGACATTGTTTCAAGAGCGAGAAACGCGACTTTGAAGCCTTGAAGACGGCGACTCGCACTCGCAGGCCGAGCAATCGCAAGAGCAATGACAACATGTCCCGTGTGCTCGGCAGCTCCGGCAGCTCGACATCTATCCCACGCTTTTGAATTATAGAGACACAGCCCAAGTGAGCGAAATTCCAAATGGAAAAATTCACACATGTTACTTATCTGAAGAAAAAAGCTGTCTAGACAGCATATTGAAAAACATGTTGGCGTGGAATAACAAAGTATGTAATTCTATGTGTACGAGTATGTTATTAAAAGTAACTTACAAATTTAATACATAATTCACTTTTAAGAAGTCTAAGTTATTTTATAAATATATTTGAGAGTAACCATTACTCAGGTGAATTATTTTCCAAGGTCCTTTTGTTTAAGGCTACCCAAAAAAAAAACCCTTGGAAAATTAAATATTCCGTGACCAACAACAAATTAAACAAAGTATGACCTTAACTACTAAACATATATCTTATTGTTTTGTTTTTCGACCACCCATGCACTTTGACCTTGCTAGCTTATGGCCGAGATACCCGAACCGCTCCCCAGGTGGCGCCACTCTAAGTCAACACGTGGCTTCTGGCAAAGTGCCTACACCTAAAATCGTCCCTTCTAATGTCTGCCACTCCCCCAGAAAATGGGGACGGAGCACTTTGGTTCCCATCTGGACATTGGAAGAGCTACCTAGAATTTCGTAAGACCCTGCAATAAAATTGCATCGTTTATGGCTGGTCGCTGTCGTTGCCTCGATGTGGTTTTTCTTTTTTTTGCGGCCACGTTCACTTCGCTCCATTTGCCACTCGCGGTGGAAACTGTTACACACTAACACCCCACTAGCACAGTGGTGATAATTATCTTATTTGAAAAGTTATATAAAACAACATTTTACAGAAAATGTAAGAAGAAATTGTAAGTTACTTTAATGTATATAACTAAAATAAAAAGTAAATTAGAGCAGTATTTCTTTAAATTTTATAAAAAATATTTGTAATAAATTAACTAAAAACTTTTAGTTGCTGATCTCAACTAAACGGATAAATATTTTATATTGTGTGACAATTGGTTAAAATTGTCTAGACTTAAAAGGTAAAATGTTATTAATGGTAATGTTGTCATTAAAAAGTTTAACTACTTTCTAAAGTATATAATTTAAGTTGACGATATGCTCATAACGTACTTGTCTAAATTACAATTTCCTTTCCGTTTGACCCACTGTATGTCCATCCACTCGTGACCTTTGCGAGTTGCCATTAACGCTTTTTTATCTGTTCATAAATTTTAATTTTGGCAAAATACTTCAAGTACGTGCCACACCCCCAGCCACATTTGGCTCACCGCCCTCGACTCGAAGCGAAGCCACCATAATTCTTTTTTTTTTTTTTAGGTCTTGGGTCTTTCCTCCGTGTTTGTTTGCCGTTTTCATTTTGGCCAAAAGAAATATGACTTGGTGGCTGCCGTTGGCCGTGCAGTTTGCTCCTCAGCCTTTTTGCCACCGAGCATCGTGTCTTCGGTTTTGAGTCGAGGACCCGTAACCTTATTTTTTCAGCGGAGCTTCCTCGTCGCTGGCGGACTTGTTTATCGTCCTTTGCATCTCATTGAGCTGGTAGCCGCTCATGAAAACCGCCCCGGAACGCTTTTCCGGAATCTCGGGGGTCTGTGTCTTGCCTTTTCCGCTTTTCCGTTTTCCCTCCTGCTCGGTCGGCACTTTTCAGTTTTCCATTGCATATTTAACCTAATTAAAATGAGTTATATGAGACAGGTGGGGAGAGCGTGTTAATCCTTGACCTGCTGACTTTGCCGGAGCTCATTTTCCCCCCGCTTTTCCAAGTGGCGCCTTGAGCTAAAGATGTTTCGCCCTCCCGCACAAGTCGCCATAATGTTTAACGTTACCTTTTCAACATTTTCCCTTACTTGTGATAGAGTAACATTTCGTTTGAGGAGTTAAATGTGCGCTGCGATTTTTAAATCAGCATTAAAATGTTCGCGAGATTTATTGCTTTGAATTTACCACAGGAAAAAAATAAAAAGGGAAAATGGAAATACGAAAAGGGTAGTAATTATTGCGAATAATATTTTACATTACAAATAAATCAACAGAATGAATACAAGTAATTTTACAAGTTCTGTAATGGCGAAATATCAATACGAAAGCATTTCGTGGAACTTGATTAATTGCCTTTTAATAAGCTAATTTAATGGATAAAAGGTTAAGCAAGCGGAAAGTATTTAATCACAATGTTGAACTTTAATTACTATTATTAACCGTAAATAACACTATTGAATAACATTTTATTTAAGATCAAATTACTGATTCCTACCCAAAACCTTAAGCTAAAAAGCCACTTTATTCTTTGATACAATCCAGTTAACCCAAACTGACTTCTATCCCGCTTCTTATCATTGCAGGTATGTTAATGGAGCCAAGTCTCAACAAGTGGATCCTTCTTCTCGACAATCAGCAAACAGTGTCCAGGAGCAAAGAGCAAACTAACCTAATGAATTTATGTAGGGGCTGCAAGGTGCAAAACGCACAAGGCCAGGCAAAGGCTCTAACTGAAAGTACTTAAGCCCATAAAATATTCAAGCCGTGAACATGTGGGGAAAATTACAAAGAGCAAAAGGAAAAGGCGCACAAAAATCCAGCCAACTGACAGGGAAATCGGGGGGAAGGTGAAAAATGGACGGACAGAATAGGCGGTCTCTCGAATGAAGAAACAAATCCTTAACAGTCATTACACATAAAAACACACAGAGGAAAGTCAAAAGCAATCTAGGTTTTGGAATTGTACTTTTTTCTTAAATTCATACATCTGACATAAGCAAAAAATATTTAAGTAGGTTAGAAGACCCTTGGCTGAGAGTTAAGCCAAATGTTGTTTAAAATCTAATGGTGTTAAGATGTTGCAACATATATTTTGAAAACCTTTAAGAATTATGTTTCATTTTGTTTGCAAAGCTTTGGTTAAATAAAAAAACATTTATTTTAAATTTTCTTTTTGATTAAACCTCTTAAATCTGTGCCGTGTACATTCTTAAACATATCGAGTGCTCGGAAAAAGTCGCAGCCGCACAATTTGCCACTGTAAGTGTAGGTGGATTGGAGATGGCATCGGAGATGGAAGATGAGGGGATGGCCCCTGGGGATAGGCAGCCAGCCACTGATTGAAAAGAAAATTACGGGCAAGTAGTTGTAGTCGGGTGGCCGCCAGATGGTCTCCACATCGACGGCGCTGCTGCGCTGATGAGCAGCATAAATGTCCTGCGAAAGGACGAGAGGAAACGGAAGTGAGCGGCGCCGCTACTGGGACCAGCGGCCTTGGGTTCCGGAAGTGGTAGAAGCCCCGGAGCCAAAGGCATTGGGCATAGGACCCCCAGCCATTTGCATTCGAGAGTACACATAGATATTTCTATGCCCCTAGACGGCATCCGCTGATGGCAACTGTTTCTTTCTGCTCCGCAGAGCAGGTTCCTTTTCCCACATTTACTGTGGGATCAAAAATTCCTTTTGAGGCATTAAAAAGGCTCCCTCTTCAAATTAAAAAATAATTCAGTAAATTACAATTTTGTGACGACAAAAAAAGGGAGCTTTGTTAAACAGCTTGTCTTTAAACACCAAATGAACAGTTTATTTTAATTATTTGTCTATTTTAAATTACTATTATCATTTTTTTATTTTACTATTTTGAAGACAAAAGTTTCTTTCCTTAATATTGTATACATTTATACGTTTTCTTTTTGTAATTCTTTATATCAATTATTCCACTGTGCCATTGGATCCCTCTAAGGACTTTAATACCGCGAAGACGGAGCAGTCGGAGCGGCTGGGAGAGCACGTTGTGGATATTAAGCATGTCCTTAAGCATAAAATGTCAATAAGTGCACCCAATCGATGCTAAGCAGTTTACATTGCGACAAGCCACTGAGGCACCGAGTCCTTCCGAGTCCTTTTTACCCTCCGGTGTCGCCGTTTTCCAGCAGGATCTGCGCTAACAATGCAAAGGACACGGAAAAGCACAATCACACTCACACCCACAAGCTTATCTTTATGCATGCGTCTCATATTTTCCGATAAACGTATTTGGATAAGCAAATTCTCGCTTGCATTACACCGGAAACGAAATTTAAAGAATGGAGATAAATAGGATTATTTAAAATGTTGCGATATTAAAAAACATAAAGAGACTTTAATAAAGATCAGGGTAAAAACGGCCAGGGTGTCAATATTTTTTATGTTTTGTCAGATGATATTTTTTTTGCAGTGCTCATATTTTTTGATTATTTTTTTTTTGTATTATTATTTTTGCCATGACGTTGCAGAATATGGCAGATATTTTTATACACACACATTTTTTTACCTTGTTAAAAATTGACTGCAAAAACCTGTTCTCATTTTTACTTATTTAAATTCCAATGTTGAAGTTCACATAAAGTCACATACTTAATATAACATTTGTATAGTTATTTAACTCACAAACATTCAGGATTTATATTTAGACATTTAAATCGCTGCAACTAGTAATTGTTGAGTTTATCAAGGGAAATACCTTGTTAATTGTTATAGAAGGGTTTCCCCGTCACATTTTCGATGAGATTGTTTTGGTTATTCGAGACAGTCTTATCCGTATGTCACTCAACCAAAACATTTCTAATTACATTTTTGAAAGTCGTTTTCTTATCGCCTTGTTTTTAGTATCTACAAACAGACTGCGACAAGAAATGCAAGATACGTTTCAGTACTTAAATATGTCAATAGATTGGAAAACAAGTTCAGTTCGCTGAGTTCCGGAAGAGTTGGCGGTCTAGCAAAAATGAGAGGTACTGAAAGCGGAGTGATGAATGCTCGAAGACTAAAGATAGATCATCGTAGTTTTGCAATGTGCTTGCCACTTGGCCATATTTATTACTTGGCTGGCCGAAATCCAAGGATTTTCGATGGAGGAAAAGTGCAAGCATTTGGCTGGAAAAGGTTACATCGGAGATCCAAGTGATTGTCGTGCTTGGGGATTTTGCCAGGACAACAAACTCAGCGGACGGAGTAACTGCAATGAGGGATTGTTATTCAACTTTCGAGATGGAACCTGCAGAAATGTATCGAATGCAAATTGTCATTCTGATACTTCAGAGATTTGTGCAAAACTCCAACCTGAAGATTATATTGCCGATCCAGCTAACTGTCGTAGATATATCCAGTGCAAGGACATCGGTGAAAATTCTTGGATTGACTGTGGAGAAGGTCAGGTGTTCAGTAATGAAATGCAAACCTGTTTGGAGGAGGTGTCCGGTTGCCCACAGGATAATATCTGCTCTTATATGAAAGATGGTTCCTTAGTGGGAAATCCCAACACCTGCAGGAGTTACTACAAATGCCAAAATGGATTTGGAATTCAGATCAACTGCACCGGTGGAAGATATTTCAACAGGAAAACTGGTCTATGTCAAATCTGGATGCCAGATTATTGCGATCAGGATGAGGATCTTCTTTGGGAAATGCCACCATCCCAGGATTATCATATATGCAACAAGTATTATCAAATGGATAGGGATGGAGCGCAATTAATTCCGGATTTAATGACCTGCTATGGTTATTACAATTGTACTTCTCAGTTTGATAAAGGACAATGGAGCAGTTGTCCTTGGGGAAAGCACTTTGAGTGGTGGAGTGAGAAATGCGGTTCACCCAAGGATAATAGTTGTTCCTACGATCGCTGCGGCAATGTGAATCAGTTTTTGATGGCCACCATAAACACGGGTTGTCAGGAGTATACTATTTGCCAGGATAATCGCTCGATGAAATCGGAAAAGTGCCCAACGGATGTACCTTATTTCGATGAGCTTTTGTGGCGCTGCACTAAGGAATTTCCCAATTACAGGGTGTGCTTCATGGATGGATAAAAAAAATATTTAAAAAAATTTTTAATTTTAAAATTCACAATATTGTAAACGCAAAAGTTTGCAGAAAAAGGAAAATAAATTTATAATACTGAACAGGGATTAATAGACAATTTAAACAGATACACTTTATCTTCTAAAATATTTTGTGTTAAAATAAACCGCATGTATTAAATCATCTAAATATCAATTTTTTTTGGTAATTTTTAATATAATTACCTACATTAAATTAAGTTCTAGGTAAAAAAATCAAAACGTTATTTATTTGCTTTGGCTAAACTCAATCAATATTCCTATAATTAATTGCTCATGCTTCAGTTGTCTATACAAAAATTGTTTTCGTCGGCACCAAAAACCACGTCTTTTTTCTTCTTTTCTAACCACTGAATACTTTCTCAAGAAAAAGGTACGAGTTTGAACCAAAAACAAACAAGAAATGAGAAAGAACCAAGAAAGATTTATGCTTCGCCTTTTTTCCATTCACCAATTTGAGTCAGTCTGGGTCGGAAAAAAATTGAGTTTTCTTTCAGTTCGAGATTTGCTTTTTGCTTTTGAAAAAGAACGTTAAACTTCTTCTTTAATGAATTTCAGATGATAAATAAAAAATACAAATATTCAATGGCAAGTCTAGCGCTTATTTTCCGACCCAAACGTTTTCCTTCTTTCTCTAGAAAGCATAAGTATTTTGAAAATGTTGAGTGATTGATTAGATGACTAATGATAACTAATTATTGTAAGTGCTGCTTGTGCTTTTCCATTCGACGAAGCACAAGTGAAGAGTCAACGAGAGACATCTTCCAGTTGAAGTCTGCCTGCCAGAAAATCAAATGAATCAACGAAAAATTCAAATATTCCCCAGAGAGCTGTATTTATGAAAGCCCAATGGGTGGGTGGGTGTTTCAGGAAATTCTTTTGAAGGGAAGGGGGGATTTTTTTTTGGGGAAAGAGGGATTGGTAGAAGGCTATGGCTGCAGGCAGCCCAATGACGAGGCACAACAATGCGTCGCGTCATTGAATTATTATGATTGACTTTTATTACACGGAATCGCAATTTATTTTACTTAACAACAGGCTGCGAACGCAGCCCGAAGTGCGGTTAAAAGTAGCGAAAATTTGAATGAAAAGTTGTAAAGAAATTACGTTATTTATCATTCGCAAAGTGGCGACCCAGCGAAAGGGACACTTTCCCATGGAAAAGAGAGAGAGAGAGAGAGAAAGAGAAAGCCAGACATCTCCCAAACCGTTTCCGGATCCGCTCATTTATTTACAACACTGTCAAGCGCACACACAGGTACACTAAAAGAAATATGTTGTAATGTATAAGGAACTTAAAATTTTTAATAATTTGTAAATGGCTTGGTTACTTTCAAATATAACTTATATGTAGATCTATAATAATATTAATTTTGAATAATTTTAAAGATACTTAACTATTTTTAAGAAATAATTTTAAGCTTACAAAGATTACATTTATTTTTATTTTTAGATTTAGTAAATTATATGTTTCTTTAAATAACCTATTTTATATATTTCAAAATTTTTTCTGTGTTAAATATTGATGCTTTTCCAACGTAGTTTGTGCACAGTTAAAAAGTTTTCCGCGGCGGCAGCAGAAATTCAAATTTATTGTTTGCGGTTGCCGGTCGTCCCTGCCACGCCCACCTTTAGTCGATGGGCTTAAAATTAGTGGCGTTGTCTTGCGAATCGATGGGCGTTTGATTAACGGTCCCACCATCAGATTGAATCGCTTAATTGCCTTAAAAGTGGGCGTGGCCGTGGGTGTGGAAAGGAGATGGCTGACTGTATGGTAGAGTGTAGAAGGCTGGGTGGATTTAATGGCTGGATAAAAGTCGTGACTATCCAATTACACACGATGTAGTCAAGTCGAGGCAGTAAGCCGTTTTGGTTCCGCCATCACTTACCTTTAATTAGCTAATTCCCTTTAAGGTCTTCGTCCTCAATTGTGGTTCGGGGATTAACCGACGGCGCACTCCGGGGATTAGAGTTTAGTAATTGCTGTAGAGGACTTTACGGCTTTATGCCCAACTGGATGGCAGAACACAAAAAAAAAATTACTGAAGAAAGTTGGCCAGACTTCGAAGCCGCGGAAACTTTTTCTGCTGCCGAACATAGAAAAAAAAGGGAAATAACTGCTAAAGTCGGCGGAGAAATGTAATGACGGTATTTATGTTATCTACCATCTAACTCCGCACTTACATTTATCAGCTTATCTCGGAAATTAATTTCAATAAAACTGAAGTTTTGATGGGGTACTAAAAGTCATAAAACGGGGAGACTTCGACAAACTTGCTCTAGCACCTAGATCTGAAGTAGAAAAACTTCTCACTTTTGCCAGAAAATATATAAAAACAAGTTGAGGAATCAACTCTTAAAACAAATCTTGTTTTTGCTTTTAAATTAATTAACTTAAAATAGAAACCCATTAGGAAATTATTTTTTTTTAAATGTTTGAGATAGTTGTATTTTGTTTAAGTTTGAGTAGCTATATATAATATATTCGTAAAGCAAATCTTACCTCATAAAATGCCATTCTGAAGGCCAAGAAAAAGACCACATTTTTCCATCTTATCCATATTAAGCCCTATTTAAATTTAAATCTTTTCCCAGCCACCTGCTGGGTTTTAATCAATTTCAAAAGAATTTTCTTTGTTTTACGCCCGCATTCAAGCGCACTTTCTCATTTAGAAATAATTCATATTCATTTAGAGGGGAAAATGACGGCGCAGTCCTTTGGAGTCCTTTTGCAAAACGGAGGAGGACAAAGAGTGGGGCCAGTGGTGCGAGTGGTTGTGGTGGCCAATGTGGTTGGGGCCAAGCAGTGCAATCCAATGCGGACTGACTTCAACCGCAGGCCGCGACATTCCAGTGTCAAGCGTTTTTCCTTCGATGGCAGTGAAAACCGCACAAAACGCCGAGACCCTCGAGTTATCCACCATCCTGGCCGGGCTTCATTGAATCCAGCCAGGGCCAATGCCATTGCCATTCCATTGCTAAGCGCCATTCCCTCGAATCCTTGGCATCCCTTTGCCGCATTTTACCGCAGGCAAAGGACCCGCTTTTGTTTTTCCAACTGGTTGACTCGGGCCACCTCCTTGCTGCCTGGAGTTTCCCAGTTTTCCCAGTGAACGCTTCTCGCCTTCCCTCGACTGCCGTTTTCCATCTTACTGCCGGCTTGGTTGTTTGTATGCGTCTGCTGTGGTTTATGTCCTCCTTGTTGACATTTAGTTGACACACACAACACGGATCCCCTCCCCATTCTCCTCCTCCCGAACTGTTCTCCATCTTGGACTTCCGGCAACAAGCCCTGGCAATGGATCATCGGCGTCTTTGTTTACACATCGCCACCGAAGTTGCAGCTGCCACTGCCTCTCGCTCCTTCACTCCTCCACTCCCGATTGTTCATCGTCAGCTGGGGCGCTTTATTGTTGCTAACGAGGAAAGCCAGGACGTCCATTCTGCTTTGCCAGACAGTGGAAACTACCAAGTTTCATTGAGAGTTTTATATCCTGCAGATCTAAGCGCAGTCATCGCGCTCTTGGCAAATTCATAAACCATTGATTACTATAAACAGCTTTTAAAAACTCTTTAACCAAATAATACGTAAAGAAATATATACTTATTATAACAACTAAATAATTTATCAAGCCAAACTAATTTATAATTGATTTTTATATTTGAAATACTATTAAATTAAGTTTTCTGTAAATGAAACGTATAATATCTGCACAATATTACTTAAAATAAATGTCTAAAAATTACTTGTGACTTTAACTTTCTGATAATAAAGATAAGTTGTATTTCGTTATATAAATTTATTTCTAAATTTATTTATTTATATATTTTTTACAAGCTTGCATTTTCGACTTGTGCTACCAGTTATTTTTTCCACTGTAAGCCAGTGGTGTAAACATTTTTTGAAAGGTTATTTCGTCTGAAACAGCCGCGGTCCGCATTTTGTTCCGCTTTGCACTTCATTTACCACCCGGCCACCCAAGCCAGCCTCCAAGTCGTCCCTTTGGTTCAAGGCATTCTGGCACCCAGGCATCCCGGCACCGAGGCATCCCGGCACCCAGGCGGCCAAGTCATCCTCCTCGGGGCAGTAAATTCTGTTTACCCACTCCGTTGTCCTTGTCTTTGCAGTAGATGCATCGCCAGGACAGCTATTTGTTATGTCGTTTGACTGAAGCTGCTGACATTTATCCAGAAACTGCAGCAAGCGGAATGAATATGCAGAGGATGCCGCCTCAGATATTAAATCGCCCGCTGGCAACAAGAAACTGTGGAGCATTCTAGTCGGAAATTCTAGCCTTGAAAGTGAAACGCTCATAAAGTACAGAAATAGATAGCCAAATTGTCCTTCTTGGAACTTCATCCATTATTAAAAATTTATCCACTGCTGGCACTTTGTATATGTACTCAGAATTTGTCGATGTGGATTTTTGCCAAATAAAATCCTTTTCTTGTCAAGAAATTAAAGAAATGAACTCATAACTGCTTCTTATTTAGAACCTTTTAAAAGATACTTCATTATTGAATATTTAGATTAAACTTAACTTAGGAAAGGCACAAAACTTAGTACAAATTTCAAGGGCAACTAAATTTCATTCCAGTTAGTCTATAAAATAAGACTTGATGGGTAACTAAAGTGTTTTTATCATAAACTCTTTTATTTTCGTCTGCCTCCGGGTGTTGGTCTGAATGGTTTTCGACGGGATTTAGAGTCGACAATAAGCACGGATTGTCGCTTTAGGAAGTTTCGAGAAGGCACTTCATTGTCATCATCAGTTGTCGCCACTTTAGATGAAAGATTTTTATAAATTAGTAAGCAGATTATTTATATTTTATTATGTTAAGTTTACCTGCAGCTGGAGCCTGTTCCGGAGAGGATGAGGAGGTTCCTGCCGCTCGCTGAGCTCGTCCTGCGAACAAATTGTAGTAGCAAACGGGCATTGGTTGTGGTTTCTCGCCTTCGGGAGCAGATGGGGATTTGGGTGGTTCCGCCTTGTACAAATCATCCTCCTCCTCGTCGACAATGTCCAACTTGGGAATCTCAAACGGTGGCACATCCTCAGATTTGCTCAGCTCTTGGCAGCGTTTGATTTTCAATTTCAAAATCTATTTAGATAGTAGCAGAAATTAATACAGATTTCATAAATATTAGTTTTAAATACCCACCTCAATCATATCTTCATCTTCGGCAGTGTGTGCCAAAAAATTAGGCAGTTCTGCCACGCTGACATGGAGCTTCCTTTCGGGTATTTCAATGTTGCTCTCATCCACTTCCTGAACCTTAAAGATCATCTCACAGATACGTTCTTTGAGATATTTAAGTACGCCCATCGATTTGCCCGCCTCATCGGTGTCCAATTTGCGATCCTGCTCCTTGGCGGCAATGCTGTTTTTGATTTGCTCGATGACCTCTTGGTTTCTGTTTATAAATTATTTTAAAAATCATTCAATATGAATTTCAACAAATTTTCAAATAAAGTAATAAGTTGCTAAACTGTTTTTAAAACATTTTGTATAGGTTCAAACGTTATAAATGTATAAAACAATTTCAATTTATAAAGATTAAATTTTTAAAGATTTTTCAATGACTTTAAAATGTTCTTATTAGGAATTTCATTAATCATAGTATACTCACACTTCGCTTTCCTTTACGTCTGAGAATTTGGAGGCCTCCAGTTCGCTGGTTAAAGCCTCTCGTTCCGCTTCCAAATTGGCCTTTTCCGCCTCTGCGGCTTTTCGCAAATAGTTCAACCGCGCTGCGGACTCCTTTTGTGCGCTGAATCTCTCGAAGACCTCGAAGGGCGAGGTGGCACCGGAGGCCTCCATGAGCTGCTTGAACAGGGACTCCATGTCGCTGGTAACGCTCTCCAGTTGGGACACCGGCTCCTCCTCGCCGTTCTCCGTTTTGGCAGTATGCTGGTCACCGGAACTGGAGCCCACGCTATCCTGATGGACCAGCGTTTTGGTTTCGGCAAAAAGCTTCCGACCAATCCGCTCCAGCTCCAATTTGCGGGCCTCCACTTGTTTGCGAAAGTCGAGGGCCTGCCGCTCCCTCGTTTTCTGGGAGAGATTCGCCTGCTGCTCCTGGCGCTGCAGGATCACCTTGGCCGCGTCCCGCATATCCACCGCCTCGTTGTGCACCTGCTGCAGTCGCTCGATCTCCGCCTTCTGGTCGCTCAACGAGGCCTCCAGCTCCCGCAGACTCCTCTCGAATCGCTCCGCATCCGTCATCAAGGAGGCCTCGATGGAGCGGTACTTCTTGCGGATGTGCTCCGCCTCCATCCACTGAACGTTGGTGCGGTGGATCTCGTTCTCCAGCTGGCAAACAAGCTGTGGGATTTTTGAGGGATTAAAAACCATTCAAATTTTAAAGATACTACAAGCTTAAACTGAAATAATATGCATATTTAAATGGTTGTCAATTTCAAGAATATTAATTGATTTCTTTAAAGAATTTTTTTTTGTTCTGTATTTAAATTGTAATTGCAGTCATTTCCCGAAAGTAATTTGCATTAAATACTTAATAAACTTCTTAAAAGCAATTCATTAATAAAAGTTAGACCGATTTTTTGCTTAAAATAATTTTAATAAGTAGCTTAAGTTTTCCTGAAAGTAGTTTAATGTGATAATTACTTTCTTACCTTCCTGTTTGCATCCTCCTCAAGAGTTTCGGGTGGTTTCTCGCCCAGATTCTGGTTCTGTGCCTCCTTGTTGGCCAGGAGTCCTCGATATTTCTCCACCAACTTGCTGAAGTGCTGCTGGCGGGATTTGAAACGATGCCGCAGCAAGTCCATCTGCTTGCGGCTCTCGGTAATCTTGAGATCAGTGAGAAAAATGGCATCATCGGCATTTTTGGCCCCCACAGGATACGTGGCCTTGCCCACAATCAGTGTTGGTGTACAACTTTGAGCCCGGCGGGACTCCCCAGTGGATTCCTTGATGACCACCGGTCGCTGGAGAGGATTTCGCAGGCGACTTGCCTTCACCGTCAGCTCCTTGATGTCCTTCTTCAAGGAGCTAATCGTGTCGCAATTGATGCGGTTTTGCTTCTGCCACTCGGCTGCATTGGCCGTCTTTTGGCCCTCTTAAGGGAATTTGTTTCATTATTACTTTAATAATTTAAAGGCTTTGCAAACATACCAGCCAACAATATGCGCTTTTTAATCTCATTTATTTGTCGGTTTAATTCGTTCAACTTGTCCGATTCCATGACCTCCTCCTTGTGGTTTACCTCTTCAAATTAGTTTTCACAAAACATGCTTTCTAAACTGTTTGTTTAATCGATATTAAAGTTGCTGTGGCAACGATTAAGTTTAACGAAGGAATCTGGTGGTTGGCAACAACTAAATACACTTTTAAATAAAGGTTAGTAATAATAATACTAATAATAATAATATAGTAATAATGAATGATACATACTAAAGTATACAAAAATAAATAATAAACATTTTTGAGTCACATTGTATATCTATTAAACCCCATTTATTTGACAAAAATGTTATTCTCTTCTAGAATTTTTAATAATTAAACCACAATTTATACAAAATATATTGAAAGACACCACCATAATTTATAGATCGGCTTGTAGCACGTCCTCGAACGAAAGAAACACCAAGATTTCACTGGGAAATCAACTCGAAGGCTGGAAAAACAAAAAAGTCAAAACAAGGAACTCTACTCGATGCGGGATTGGATCGCACTATTCCGGATCCTGGCGACGAACTCGGCAGCGTGGCTGGGCTCCCGGAAGGAGCAGGCGATCCTCTCCAGGATTCCCTCGCGACAGCATGCGTAATTGATGTTCGTCCAGCGGCAGCTGTACGAACTTTGGGACATATAGTCGATGCGCCACTTCTCGTCCACTCGCATCAGGATGATCAGTTCACCGGTGACCTTGTCATGGAGTATTATATAGTACAGTCCAAGGTGTTCCATGATCTCGATTTGACCCTCGCCTGAGAAGGATGGGGAGCGGTAAGGAGTCTCGTTGGAACCTTTAACTTTACCTTGCCGTTTCCACTCCTTCAATTTGTTGAAACAGAAAACCCTTACGCACTGGCTGAACATAACTCTTCCGTTTCTCTGAATTTCCGCCAAATTGTCAATTCTTTTTGGTAAATTGTGTACTTCTGTCAGAGATTTCTTCACACACAACTTCTTCTGGATTTCCGAGTCATCGGTTTCGTAAACATCACTAAAAACAGAATCCTTGCTTATATTTAATCCATTGCAATTCAATCCTTCACTCGCATCTTCTCTGTATAATACAGGAAGTAATTCTTCATTTATGTTTGGTCTCATTATTACAGGTTCACAAGCCAACGACTTTTCTTCAATTTTATTCTTGCTACTTTCTGCAGCCGAAGTGAGCTGGAAAATATTCTGCCTAAACACTCTTGAAAAGGTTAATGAGTTGCGCATTTTCTCAAATCTGTTTATTCGGCTTTTATATGAGTTCTCTGAAAATAAAGCTTAGTTTAATAATTGTTAAATATTTTTTTTGTTGATAATTACTTACCATGTGAAGATGCCTCCAATCTTTTGAGCATATTTAAACTTAAAATAAGAGCCCTGAGTGATTTTGAAGCTTCCTGTTGAATTCTTTCCCTGGATCGGTTATTTTTCCTTATCGAAACTCTATCACCAAAAGATGTCCTAACATTGGGTTTCCAAGTTGATCTGCTTGCCAAGAGGGAACTAATGAAACCCAATTTATTTACTGGCTTTGCTATTTCCACAAATGGAGCCATCAGCTCTTCGATCTGCAAAGTTAAAGGAGCTAGGATTCCCGTTGATTTTGGTTGAAGAACTGTAGAAATTTCTTTTCCAGTTTCTTCGTGAATTATTTCGTTATGTTGATGCTTTTCTTCTGCTTCATTTATCCCTAGTAGAGTAGATTTCTCTGTTCTAGATTCATTTATTTCTTTGATTTCTTGTAAATTTGGTTCTTCTATCTTAGCAAGTTTTGGTTCTTCAATCCGAAACAATGTTGTTTCTTTGATTTCTGGTGAAACTGGTTCGTTGATAGGTTGAATTTCTGGTAGTTCGATCTTCGCCTCAATTGTCTGTTTAATTTCAGATGAATTTATATCATTTATTTTCTCATCATTGGCACACGCCATCTCCAATTCAGGAATAAAGTATGGCATAGGCACTTTCTTCTCTTCAGAAAAATCCGGCTTTTCGCACAAAGATTGCTCTTGATTGCCAAAAAAAGAAAGTTCTCCCACTCCACACTTAAATGGTAAAAAGTCCTTTACCTCAGTCTCCCTTTTTAATCGATCGATAATATTTAAAGGCGACAAAAGTGTTTCCATTGGCAAACTGGGCAAGTTGCAGTCTTCTTTAAAGGTCTCTTCAGAAGTAATTGTGGAAGAGATTTTTACTTCTAGTTGTTCTGATAGATCAATAGTTTGTAGATCTGGGGAGTTGCAACTGCATTTCGAGGTATCGAATTCGTGGGCATTGTCGACTGCATTCGCCTCACTTTGCCCATCTGAATTGGTAACATCCACATCATTGGCCAACATTGTCTAAGCTGGAATTCTATAGAATAAAAAAAAATAGTAAAGGAATAAAAATTCACTGGGATTTAGAACACAAATGGCTTACAGCTTAATGAGTGTTGAGTCAAAGTGCAAGGCAATCTTTGGGTTTTTATCATTTGCTTTTTACTTTATCTTTTTTCATTTTGTATCTAATTTTCCAGAATGGGGACGCTATTACCGCTAACTCAAATGGAAATACAAAATAAAAGTCTTCATTAAAATTAATTAAAATTTCTTATAAAATTCCTGTCTTTCATCTCCGGTGTTTCTTGGACTCGTTTTCTTTTGTTATTGCATCTTTTCATTAGAGTCCCACTCAGGTCACTTCTTTGCCGTCTCTAGTTGGACACAACGAGATTCTAGGAAGAATTTCCGCTCATTGTTTTCCGCACGCATGTCGCATTTCGGCCACTGTGTCTAATTACAATTTGCTTTTTGTCCAACGGAGCGTATGCGCAATCATAGAAGCATAGAAACAGTCCGTCGAGTGGAATGGGAATCGAATTGAAACACATTGACAAGAACTTTTTACTGGCTCTTCAATGGACGACATGAGAATGGAAACAAAAGCACCTGAAGGCCAACAGAACAGAACATCCATCGCCCAGTTTAGACATTGTTTTCTGGCTGAAATGAGGATTGTGAATGTTTATAGATGAGAGCCCGCAGCTAAACAAATACAAATACGCGAGGGACCAGTCAACGCAAATAGCACAGGAAAAATATTTGAGTCTGAAATATGCATAAAATGCGGGAAAACGAATTCAAAGCTTGGCTAAATAAATAAATAGCGAATGCAAACAAAATGGAACACGAGAAACAAAAAAAAAAAAAATCATGAAAATAAAAAAGGGAGGAAGGAAACTTTCATTCTCAAAGTAAAACAATCAAAATTTGCGCACCATTAAATTCTGTATGGTACCCGCTTTTCCCAGCTTTCTCTTGAATTTTCTCGCAATTTTCCCATTCTTTCGATAGCATACATTTTCGCATTGTTGTATGTGCTCCAAATTGACTTGCTGTTCAGCGTTCAAAGCTCAGATTCCTGTGATTTGATTTTCCCCCAGTCAATCGCCAAATTTTCGTCCTTTTTGTTTTTGGCTGAAGCTTTCGGCGTCCTTGTAAATATTTTGTTGACACTTATCTATTTGCAAAAGCGATCAAAGCGCAGAGACAGCGAAATGCCAGTTATATTGCATCACAAATTGGTTTTGATTTATGACTTGTTTTCGCAAATTCAGCTTAAGTCGTATTGATACAGATCGAAAGCCATGGAAAAAGCTGATTATAGGTGGTTTACGTTATGTTTTTCCTGAACTGATTCTACATAACTCAAATTAAATATTATTTAGTGTATCTGTAAATAGCTACTTTTTATGCTATAAGCCATTTTAACATTATTTAACATTAATTAATAAAGGTATTCCACCTTAAATTTGTTTTGTGGGTCATTAATAATGGGCAGGACTTTGTTTTTCGTTTGAAACGCAAATCCAAACACGGTCTTTCTATAATTAATGCTACTTATTTAATTATTAAGATATTTTGAAACCATCAAACAGGCATATATGGTATACTTACTTATTTAATAATTCATCGTTCAATTACCCAATTAAACATAATTCGAAAACAGAATTTTAAATTACCTGGAATATCAAATGAATGTTCTCAAAGTGTATAAAGTATGTCACTTAAACTTAATTTAATATTCACCTAACAAGTAGAGCCCCACCCAAACGAGAATATCCACTTGGAGTGCATTTAATTAGGCTGGTTAATCAACCAGAAGGTAAACGTGGTATCAAGGTTGCACTATATTGTAATTTGCAAAACCAACTTAAATATTTAGCCCTTGGTTAGCCAGGCTCTCGAGTTAACTTTCATCTCTGGAGGATGCAGGCATCCTGGCCGAAAGTTACGTAGTGCTTCACCTGGGAAACGTGCGACATTCTGCAGCTGGCAGGACATGCTTCGAGCCCATTAAAACTAATTACTCATAATCATTTTGGCTACTGCTCGACTGCCTCCGGGAAACCAGTGCCATGATTCTTGGCGAGGCGACAGTCACAGCTGCCACATACACATTGAAATTAATTTAAATTAAAATGGGAGTGGATCTGGATGTGGATGTGGATGTGAATGTGGATATGGATATGGTTATGGAAATGGAGCTCCGCGAATCCTGCACATGTGGCGAACTCGAGTCCTGATCCCCATGAAAAGGCTTCCCAACCGCAGATGATGGCGAAATTAGTGGCAGCCGAAAGAGCAATGGCGATGAGTTAAAAGAACAAAGTCAAGTGCGCGGCAACCGATGAAAAATCTCTGCGAAATTAATTAAATTCTGTAATTTAAGGCTGGCCCCTTTTGAATTCGCTGCCTCCTGCGGGCGCACGGTACGTATGTGTGATGCTTTTATCATGATTATGTTGCGCAACCCCCTGGGGCTCTCCGCACCTGGGTTCGCTGACCTTTCGTCCTGACATTTGCTCTTCATGCACTCCAATGCAGGCCAGGACTCCTTTGCACTTACAAAAAAATTAAGGAACTGATTTATTTATTAAAGGTAAAAACATGAGGCTGATTCGTTTTCTAGGAATTCTCCACTTAAGCGAGAAATTTAAAGTAAATTTAGAAAAAATATTTTTTTCACATAATAGGTACATAATAATTTTTTTTTATGTAATGGTAAAAAGTTAATTTTTTACAGATATTTCTAACGTAACCACAAAATGAATGCTTGAAAATGACTTGCTTGAATCTCAAATAAATTGAAGTTTTTTTCTATGAAGTTTAAAAATTAAAAGTAAAAATAATTATTTCTGGAAAGGGGTATAAATTAAAGTTTTTAGTGCACTTGTTTGCCTTGTGTCTTAGCATGCCTGTGTATGTGTGTGTGTGTCAGTGAGTATGTATGAGTGTAGGTCCTGCAGGCATCACCTTTCTCGTGCCAGCGAGCGTCCACCAGATGGCGCCAGCTCTGCAGCGTTGTCAAGCGCAACGCAGCGAGAAATTATTCTAATTAGAGTGGCCCCACCCCCCGCAGTTCCATGATATCCTTTGCAGTGCCTTTGAAAAGTTATTCAGTTAGACGGAGAGTGGAGCTGTGGAGCTGTGGAGCTGTGTCTGTGTGTGTTTCTAATTTGTCTGTTATTTTTCTGGCTTAAAGCACTTTAGTTTACCAGCAGTTACACTTCCTTCAAAGAGCTAATGTGTGTGCGCCTGTGTGTGTGTGTGTCTGTAGATAAAAGCTTCAGGCGAAAGGTATTTACCTTTCTGATTTGAAATTGAGACTGAAGTCCTTGGTTACTTGCCCACAGTCAACTAGCCAACATTTAAATTAGATGTAGTTTCTGAGAAACTTTCAATCCATTTACTGCATTCCAATAGCATTGAACAGCATGCCAATCCTTAATGTAAGTTTGTGAATCAAATACTTTATTTTCCTTTGAAAATTTTTTATACATTTTTTATTTGGAATTGTGTTTTATTCGGATCAAAAATCCGTTTTTACTTTACAGAATTTAAAATGTTGGAACCTTATTTTCTTAAATAAAAGTTGTTCGTTAAAAAGGAGTTTCCCTAACTCTAAATCTCCCTTTCTTTTATATATCCTTAAAATAAATGATTCCGTTCATATGGTTTCCATTCATAACAAATGTAACTTTAATTTGTTATTTTCCGCCAGAGACAATTTCTGTCACCTGCGAGGCGAAATTGCGACCCAATCACACGTCACTTGGACAGCTCCTGAAAACGTTGACAAAATGAAATTTTTAAATGTGATGGCAAGCTGAATTTATGTTGTAATCTCCCGGCGAGGAGACACAGCCCGGGACTTATGTGCATGATTTATCTTGAGTCGCATAACAAAAGCGGTGAGAGGACTTCCTGTGCGTGACGTAACCTACCCTCCTCCTCCCTCCACCCCTCCTTCATCCCCCTCCCCACCCATTCATGAATCACCCGCGGAGTGGCAACATGTGCTTAATAGTTTAACGCTTCGTGTGCCACTTAGCTGGGCGTGAATGCCTATCCTGGCGAGGAGTCACCAGGACGCAGGACTTGTCTCCTCCTCGTAATGCCGCTGATTATAATGGTAAAGTACTGCAGGATGATGATGATGATGCGGGAGTTGGTGGCGATGGCGGTGCTGATGATGCAGCCTGTCTGCCGGATAGCCCCATCCTCCATCCTCCCTTGCAACACTCATTTTTCGTTTCTCTGGCGTTAGTGGATCCAACTCGGTTACAAATCCGCGACGTTGTTTTCTGCATGCCTGCCGCTTTGCCCCCTTTTAGCGAACCAAGCCAATTTCATCTCGTTCCGCGTTATAAACGGACAAACGGACGGACAGACGGACGGACGGACAGATGGATGAACCGAGGGACAGGCACACGGACGTACTCCGATTCCGACGAGGAGCAGGAGCAGGCGGCCAGGTTCCTGGCTGCCTTGTCCTCGCATCCTGACATCGCGTGTCGCATGATGTATGACATTTTTGCGCCTCATAAACAGCTGTGCTCTACACCCGATAATAAGCAACGAGCACTGTAAAATAATCTATACTATATATTATTTGAGGATCGAAAATATCTCTTAATATTAATATTTAATAATATTATTAAAAATATATATTCTGTGACTCTCTGAAATGTCTTGGTTAGGTACTTAAATAAAAAAATATTATTCGATTTTATTTGAGCATCTTTTGCTTGTAATAATCTACATTCCTACAATAAAAATTTTATTCGATTTTATTCGAGCACCTCTTGCTTGTAATAATCTACATTCCTACAATCGCTTTTCAAAATATAAACCTATATATGATTATGGTTATGATTATAATAAGAAATATCCGTAACCAATATTGAACTCCACGAAATATCCCTAACATTGAGAATGCGACTACTTAACAATCCCTTAATCAACTTACTAAGTCCCTCTAATAACCGGAAGTTCAGCTCTTAAATTTAAGAAAAAAAGACTTTCTTCCCAAGAATAAACTCTTGATGCTGGTGAAATATTTTTCAAGTGCACCTGTGTCGCGAACCAGGACACCTGTCATCCGTCCCCCAACTCCTTGCCTTGTTGCTCTTTTGTTTTTGTGCAACGTCCAGACAGCCAGCGAAAAATGGGGTGGCTCTTGTTTGGTTTGGGTCGACTGTTTTTGGGGTGGTCCCTGTTTCTGTTTGTGTTCGTTTGCTTTAACGAAATTGGCACGAGTGGCGGAAGGCGATGCCGCCGTGTTGACTGTTTGCCTGTTTGGCTATTTGCTCGTTTACGTTAACGGTGAGCTGACTTATTTTCCTCGGCGGTGCAATTCAAATATGCCGGCAGTTCCTTTACCCCACAACCGGTTGATTGCACCTGTCAACTCTATTGACCTTTGACATTCACTGTGCGCGTCTGGGATTCCGTTTGAAATAATTCTTTAACTAGTCTAATACACATATATATTTCGTATAAACGGACAATTTTGGTTGGGAGGTAATTCATTGGAAAATTTGTATATTGAGTAATTTAATTCCATTAAAACGGATATCAATCTGAGCCGATGTTCATCGGTATTAAGCCTTTTAATACAATCTGCTCTTTTTATATGTATTTATAAAGCATTCGTATATAAAAATGTTAAAGTTTTTCCCATTGGCCCGCAGTTGTGGCTACAAAAATAGAGGAATTTTCTTGTATGTATATACGAGATTTATTGCGTTCATATGGAAGTTGATTAATTGGCTGCAGTGCTGTTTTTTATCCGCAATCAATGCTGCAGCTTTGGAGTAAAACTCGATGACAGAGTTTGACTTTTCGAAATACATTGGGGAAAATAATACAATAATGAATACAATTTCAGAAAAAAAAAAATATTTTAGAAAAAGTCTGGTAAAAATAGTCCTTTTTTTTAGGCTTCAGCAAATATACCATTAAATTTGTAAAGCTTAAATGACTCCAAAAACATTTTTCAAAAGCAAGTAATTTTTTATAATAAAAAAATGTTTATGCATGGACATTCTTAGAGGGTGAAATACAATATTATATTCTATGATACTCTTTCTATAGGAAGTTTGTTGAACCATAGTTTTTCCGAGTGTTGTGTAAACATCCAAAGTTTCCCATCCACTAATTGAATAAGTTAGTTTTCCGGAACGGAACATGCGGTTATAGTTTCCTTTCCCTCGGCGGAGTGGCTTTTCCCCGGTGCACGGATTCCTGCACACAGAGCTCACAAAACTTTTTGACTTCCATTTATTTGCAAACACGCTCATCATCATTTGGGCCTGGGCGTGCTGAAATACCATTAAAATCACATTTCGATTTAATTTGCATAAATTGAAGTCGAGGGGCAGCCAGTGGAAAATGAAGCCGAGCCGAGGCAGTCTAAACATGAACTAAAACGCCATTGAAAATCGATTCGAAATCAATTAGAGAGTGATTTGCAATATATATTTATATTAAATGGAATGCTTAGCCGCCCGTGGAGTAAATCAACCAAATCACCGGACTTTTGTTCCGGTCTCCCGAACTCCCCAGCCAACCATTCAGTTTAATGGGTCCAAGGACACGATGGGAATTATGACACTTTTTGCGGCTCGCTGCTCGCATATTCGACTTTTGCTTTTTATTGAGCGAAATGAAAAATTCAATTAAAATGCACACATGCTACGAGCCCCACAACTCGATGGCTCAACCCCAAAAAAAAAAAAAAACGGATAACATATAGTGCCAGGGAAAAAATTGAGAGCGGAACGAACGAGGCTCGCTGGCAGCAGAAAAAAAAAAAACATAAACGAAAGGAAACGAAAATGTGAAAAATCAGCATAACAAAGTGGGAAAAACTATGAAAATGCATTCGCCCGGCATGGCTGCTTTCACTTTTCCTTTCCCTTTATTTTTTTTTTTTTTGTTTTTGTGTCCAGTTTTTCGCCACGCTCCACGAAACTGGCGAGCATCCAGTTTTCAGCCAGACGTACTCATGTGTCCATGGACCTCGGGACAGGCGACACAATATACCATCTCCATAACTCTCCGCTTTTCCCCAGGGACCTCGTATGCGATGGGTTGGAAGTGCCAGTATGTAAATAGCCCAGTCCTGTAAACACATTTCATTTGCACAAAGAATTAGACCTAGAAGGGTTTTGTAACAAAGGTCCTGCGACGAAACCCGCCGAATCGGCATTTATTGTTGTCGACCTTTTCAAAGGGAAAGATTTTTAGGCTGTCTTGATTACGAACATTGGAGGCAATGCTCTTTGTTGTTCAACAAAATGAAGAATATATTTGAAAACAGCTTTGACTTTACCTCATTATATTAATTAAAAACAAACCTTTCCTAAAACAAATGTCTACCTATGCAATATTTCTAATAAACAATTATAACTAAACCGTCAAAGTACATATTTGTTTTAAAATAAATTAAAAATTTGATGTAAACTTAGTGGCATTCTAAGCATTCTCTAATAATTAAATCACCCATTTCGGGTAATATACAAGCATATTTAAAATGTAATAAAAACAATGTACTGCTTATAACAAAGATTAAAAACTTTCCGATAAAATGTTTGCTCTTATAAACTTTTGTTCTCTGCATAACAGTGTTATTTTGAGTTGCCAGTTTATCTTTTGAAATTATTTTTGTGCAAATGCATCATACCATTTTAATTATGTCACTCGTTTTCATTTATTATTTTTGGTTTCGTATTTACGCCTGTTATTTTTGATTCCGTGCCTTTTTTCAACTGACACTCTGACATCATTTAGAATTCGTATATTTAGCACCTGCAAATAATGCAGCGCATGCAGGAAATTGTCGGGTGAAAAACAGTAAATAGATCTGAGTTTTGCGGTGCTAATGAAACAAATGCCGGCACCCCGACCTCCGATTCTGTCAGAATCAGAATCAGTTGAAATGGGAAGCCCGGGCAAACAAACTGCAAAGCCGAATTTACGGCTGCCGCTTTTTGAATCGACAACCGGAACGGGCAACTGGAAAACCGAAGAGGGGCGATGGTTTTATAGCGGATTTTCGGAGGGAAAATATAAAAATAAAATTGGATTTTAGCGTAGATTGTACTCGTAGAAGGCCGTAAATATTTTTCAATTCACTGGCCCCCAAAAGAGGGAAGCGCACATATGATTTCCCCAAGGGGGACCAAAAAAAGGGGGTTTCGGTTCGGGGTTTGCGGTTGGGAATCGCGTGCGAATGATTTGGCAGAATTAACTCCCCGACACCCGAGTGCCAACGAGAATTCCCTGCCGGAGGCATCAGGACCCCCCAAAGAACCCGTTCCCCAAAAATTTTCGGAGGAGCAACATGTGGGGCGGGGATTATCGAGCGAGGAGAAAGAAAGCCTCATTTGAATGCCAAGCGAGGTGGTTTTATTTTCGGGCGGGCAAACCCTTTTTGATCCTTTCAACGGCGGATGGAGTCCTCCCCCGAAGGCCTTAGATACAAGTTGGATCCTGCTTAGGCTACCTCAACAAATCCTCCGAAAACTCATTTCGTTTGGCTGGCGCCAAATTGATTTCATTGCCTGTTTGTTTGAGCTTTGTTTTGCAGCTAAATGCCAAAATCCCCCTATCCATTTCGAATCCTTTCGTTCAGTTACAGCATTTCCTAGGTCAGGCCTTTATCTTTAACAAATATATTTATCGGCATTCCTGCGGCATTTTGATTAAAATTTTGATTGGAATTTTGAGGCCTTCGGTAAAATATTAGTGGCGTGGCTTCACACTCGCTTAAAATTATTTTGATAACAAATGAAATATTTGGCAATTTGAACAATGCAAAAATGAAATATTAAGAATAATCAGCGTTACATAAAATAATTTTATATTTTATTATTTATCTAATTTATTTTGTTTACCTAAACTATTTATCTAAGAAATATACTATCTTCAATGAGGAGTTAGAAAAGTACATATTTGTTGTACAAAATTTAATTACAAAACTTTAATTATTTGAAAAGGGTTTTACAAACATATTCAGTTGACACTTGTCAGAAATTATTTAAAATTCCAAACTGAGGGCTGCTGTGATTTGTTTGTCATTTGTTATTTCTGAGCATTAGCCTCGGCATGGCCACGCCCACCGACGAAGGGCAGTGATCATCTGGTTATCCTAGATGGCAGGACGGGTGGGAGTGCTGTGGAAGCAGATAGTAAGGTCCGCGGACCGGTTCCACCAGGCAGCCTTCAGTCCGAAGTTCCTTCTGTACACCAACATTGGGATTTCGGTGGGTCTCAGCATGGTGGGCGACACCATGGAGCAGTCGTACGAGCGATTCATCGGAGAACTTCCCGAATGGAACCGGATACGCACTCTGCGAATGGGAATCTCGGGATTCACGGTGGGCGTGGTGTGCCACTACTGGTACCAATACCTCGACTATCTGTTTCCGAAGCGAACCTTCAAGGTGGTTGTAATCAAGATCCTGCTGGACCAGTTCATCTGCTCGCCGCTGTACATCGCCGTGTTCTTTCTCACCATGGCTCTCCTCGAGGACAATTCGTGGGAGGAACTGCAGCAGGAGATCAGGGAGAAGGCTCTCATCCTCTACGCAGCCGAGTGGACAGTGTGGCCACTGGCGCAGTTCATCAACTTCCTGCTGATCAAGCCGCAGTACAGGGTCTTCTACGATAACACCATCAGCTTGGGTTACGATGTCTTCACCTCTCAAATCAAGTATCGCAAGAAGCCGGACCAGGAGGAAAAAAAATAATATTTGAAATAAAATCTGTACATCCCGGGATAATATTTTGTGTAGACCCAAATTTTAAGTAACTTTCAATTTTCAACCTTTGTTATTTTAACTACCATGGTGTCTTAAATCTCAAGTACTCAAGAAAAGCCGGTCAATCTAAAATTTATGTTGAAATAAAAACAAATTTTACTAAAGCCTAAAACTCATTAAAAAGTATGTAATTTAAAAGATTTAATTACAAAATATGGTTGGTGTGGTTTTATTTTGCACAAAATCACCACAAACATACTTTATTGCTAGATTAATATTTATTTGCTGCGCATCAAATGATTTGAGAAAAACAACATCAAAAAACCACAAGAAGAAGCTCAAAAACAGAAGTCTAAGTATGAATTTTTAATGAATTTTCTTGACCAGCAATTACTTTAAGCTGAGCTCATTCCTTATAATAAATCATTGCTCAGCCAGAGCTTTTCACAAAGTGACACCTACTATTATGGCAAGTCAACCTGTCCAAATAATACCATATCCCTCACCTTCGAGGGAACGAGGACGGCGGATGGAAGGTGGCCTCCACTTCAGTTGTCAAATGCAGAAGAGCCTGGTCGAAACCTTCGTCGGGAACTGGGAAAGAGCAGATTCCGGCCAAGTGAATGGCATCGAGGGATGGAGAGACACTCGAGCCTTAAGCCCTCAACGTGGAATTGTGTCAAGCGTACAAAAATAAATAAAAGCAACGGGGCGGCACCAAAAAAAAAATGCAAAAAAAAAAAAAAGAAAGGGAAAGGGAAATCAAGTGACAAAATTGATGTCAAGATGAGCGAGCGGCGGCCGTGCCAGGATATCCACATCCAGGGGCGAAAAGAAAAAAATCCAGGGGCTTCACGGCCAGCGCCAGTTGACACCACCAAGGACTAAGGGCATCCACACACACACACACACACTCACACTCACATGTCGACTAATCCAATTTAAATCTCTTAACATGATTTGCCGCTTTCTTTTCATTTTGTTGGATTTTATGCTATTATCCCTTTTGGTCTCCGTGTGTCCTTTTTGGCTACCGGATTGCCGAGCACAACGGAAAAGTCAACTCTCTCGCTTTTCCACCATTTCACAGTGGATGAAATAGTGAAATATTTACTTAATTTAAAATTAGTTAATTAGGAAAACAAACAAATTGAAAAGTAAAAATTATGTTGAAGAAATGTCTTCCGAAATTGTTAGCAAAAGTAACCTCGTTTGATGTTTTCTTTTATTTTGTTTTTTAATAAACAACTTTGTCCACCGTTCGCTGTTTTCCTTTTGGCCCACTGGCAAGTTGACTTCCTGTCTTTGCCGTTATCTCTGCCAAGGAGGACGCGCCTTCAAGGAGCAAGGACACCGAGAAAGGACTGCGGCCAAAGGGTTTATTTATTTGGTTTTAGCGGCTGACTCGGTTGCCTTAGTCGTTCCATCCTCATTTTGTGATTTAATTTAAAAGCTCGGTTCCAGTTCCACCCAACGGAATCCTTTTTCCTGGAGGAGTGGGCGGAGTGCCAGGGGGTGGGGCTTTTCGGCACGTGGCCAACCATCTCGGCTGGGGTCCTTGATGAGTTGTGTGTGGTTAAAGTATTCCGAATGGGACTACGTGTTGATGACCAAGTTTGCCAAGTCACCGCCAAAGGCAAACCGAAGTAGACGAGGAAAAACTCAAGTGCAAATAAAGCTGTTGGCTGTTTCCTCGAATCATTAAATAATAACTTAATTATTTTGTTAGAGCCTACAAGCAGTTAACTGAGAAACAAGTTCAATTTGATGATGCAGAAAATTATCTATACAATAAAGGAAATAAATCAAATAAATGTCAATGTTTGATAAGATTTAATTATATCTATCTGTTGAAGATAATAATAAATGCTGTTTAATAAGATTAAATTTCATATATCAGTTCATAATGATAATGTTTAGTAAGATTTGATTTCATGTATACGTTTATATTGATTACAAATAATTAAAACTACTCATATTACCTTGACACTATTTATAGTAAAACCACTTCATGTTCAAGTTCTTGTAATGACTTGATAAAAATTACGACACTCTCAGTCGGCAATGCGATTAACACCCATTGGCAGTATGTTTTCCGGCTCTGATCAATATCTGCTATGCTATACTATATATGCGCTGGATTCTGTGCAATCGGGGGTCGAGCACCCTCATCTGTCCACCCATCCGTCCGGTTCAGGTGGCCCAGCCACGTTCAGTTAATTGGCACTCAGAGCCTTCAAACAGAAATGCCAATGATGTTTGTCTACGAAATTACCCGGAGAGGAGAGCCGGCAGCCGGGAGATGGGAGCTGGGTTATGTTACCAAGTCCCTACAAGTTCTGTATGTTGTGGAGGTACAATCCTCCCGGACTCCGGATCCTGTCTACGGGGTTCCTGCTGGCCCATCCAACCATAACCTATGCCCCAGTAATGGAATTGTGTGTGAATACAGAGAGCAAAAAACTTATTGAAATAAATTATATTATGAAAAAAGATATGGAAATTAACTTTAATTCTTTAATCCAAAAATTAAATAGACCAAATCTGTACTTTTGAGGATCGAAAAAAGAATTATAAAATATTAATCTTATTAAATTATTAGAAATATTTTTAAATTTAAAAACAATATACAATTTTTATACAATTTAAAGTCCTTAAGAACAATGACTTAGTTATTTAAATATTGGTAGACCTTAAATTACTACAGTACTTAGGAATAATAATAAGATGGTTCCATATTCCTTTTACTCAGTTTATGTAAATTTCATGCTGCATATTTAAAGGAAACATTTTACATTTAAGAACAGAAAAATATTCATGCTGTAGTTTCAGGAAATGTTTCACATTAATTATTCTTAAATTTGAAAGAGAAATTTCCCTCAGTGTTTTACTTCTGCTTGCAGACGGAATAAGAACAAGAGTGAACGTAAAACTGGGTGGACCATTGTGTAGTCACATGCCCGGCAGTTATAATTCCATTTGCGATCATAAAAATGTATTACGCTGGTAAGCTGCTCATAACAGTCTACTTAATTGGCAAGGAATTCAGTGGCAAGTCTGTTTCGCTCCTTGTTTCGCTAAGTGCATAAGTATATGGTGGAAAATTTGGTGCATACACACCGAAAGCGAACCGCTTTTCAAACACAAATGACATAACTGCCTTCGAAGCGTGTGGCATATGTTGCTGATGAATGATGAGGGGGAAGGGGGATCCCCCTGCCATTATTACCCCGCATAAAAGTTGCGTCAACTTAATTAGCCATAAATTAGCCAGGATTCACGCGTTTTTAACGACTTGTTTGTTCGCCAGGCAAAAAGGAAGGGGTATGATGACTCTGTCCCATCACGATGGCACTAAGTCCATCTGTCAGCCAAGTTGAACGAGTTAATTTATTTATCTTGCCGCAGCAGCAGCGGCAGCAGATTCGCCAGACCCCTGGCCCTAATGCCACTTGATTTTTCTAGCCGGGTTGCTCAAAACTTTCTGCTTTCAGCTAAAGAGAAGAAGGGCATTTCATGGCTCTGTCGAAGTCTTACTGCGGACAGCATTGATAAATATGGGTGTAAACAAGCTGCTTCTGCTGCCTTCGAGCGGAGATAAGCCAGGGATCAGGGCATTAACTTGCTACAGTAAATGGATAATAAATGCAGTCATTACCAGTCGGGTGCTGGGTAATCCTTTAATAGTTGAATATGAGAGTGCTGGGATTTTAAAAGACCAGACAGGAAGACATGTTTATGAATTAAAAAAAAATATATATAAAAACTATTCTCATTTCAAAGAATGAATTCTATACGTATTCCAATATGAATAATGAAGACCAGTTCTACAGGAACTTTTGTAATTCAATTATAAGCTCATAAGCTTGCCATACAAATTTATTAATAAATAATCAATATGCAATATGCTGAATGAATACTAAATGTAGTAATTACTTGAATTAATAAAAATAGTAATGACAAGCGCCTAACATTTTTTTCACTTTAAACTTTTTAATCTCCAGTGTCAAAACTTCTGAAAATTTCATCAGTATATAAATTACTTTGTCTGCTTAAGAATAAACCAAAAATTTGTATTTGAATTAAGAACAATAAGTTATATTTTAAAAATTATAATATTTACAAATATTATTTAATAATAATGTTTAATAATATTTATTAGGTTCTCCTCATTTAAAATCCCTATGAAAATCCCCTTCCATTCGAATCCTCAATGACGAAACTTCTGCCAACTTAAAGGGGGGACAATATCCATATGTGGAGATCCCTTTGACCCGTTTCCGTTCCGTTTGGCATCGGTCAAGAGGCTTCCCGGTGGTGGCCCATGATATTTCACAGCTGTTTGGGTAGTAAATCAACCGCATAATGGAGCCATTCAAAGGCCATATAGAGTTCGCCATCCAGCTGGGGACTTTTGGGCCTCCGCTAGTGGAGGATGATTAAAAACTCTTAATTGTTGGTAGCTGGAAAATTGAATGAGCATTAAAGTGGCCATCCAGAAGGGGGATCATGAATCATGGTCGGACAACTTCGAGCGAGCTTTTCAATCCGCATCGCATATTCAAGCGTAATACCTTCAATCCCTGGGCCAACTTTTATGCCTGTTGGGGCCATCGTTGTTGGGGGAAATCGCACTAAAATCGGCAACAGCGGCGCAAACAACAATCGCAAAACCAAAACAAAAACAAAAACAAGAAGAACAACAAGCTAACAACAGCCACCGCAGCAACAATCGAAATGAGAGCAACAAATTTTAACGAGCACCACAAAACCCCGAACGCTCTGCTTTTTTAAGCCGCTTTCATTTACCCGCCCGAAAATCCCCACTTTTCCACTCCACTTTTCCCCGCTTTCCATTCTTCCCACCGCTCCTCCACCAGTTGTGTAATTACAAAAAAGCCGCGGGCTAAAGTTGCTCGCAGAACTTGACAAATGGCACGACGGTGGAGCTGCTGGAGATTGTTTAGCTTGGTGGAACTGCTGGAGTGCTGAGAACGGGCCGGTTAACCAGGATAATAGGATGAAACAAATGTAAATGAAGGGGGAGGCCAGTTGCATTGGGAAGTGTGCTACCAAAAAAAGAAAAAAAAATAATAACAATAAAGGAAAAGAACACAACAAAACAAATCGCAACATAAAAACGTTGACTCAAAAATCTGTTAAAGACATCTC